CTGCCGCAAGAAAGATGAATGCCCCCTCCAGAAGAAATATCTGACCCAGGCTATCGTGTACCAAGTCGAGGTAAAGAGTCACGACAACGGTGAAACGAAGCGGTACACTGGGGTAACAGCTGGGGAATTCAAAGACAGGTACAGAAACCATAAAAAATCATTCCGGCTTCAGAGATACGCAAACGAAACGGAGCTATCGAAGCATATTTGGAAATTGAAGAGAAGCGGAAGACCTTACAACACCGCTTGGTCCATTCTTAAGAAGGCTGACCCATACACAAGTGGAAGACAAAGATGCAACCTATGCTTGCAAGAGAAGCTGCTGATTTTAAAATCTCGCGACGAAAATCTACTCAATAAAAGATCGGAATTCTTCTCGAAGTGCGTGCACCAGAAACAATTTTTGCGGGAAATGTGGTCTGCGCGCGTGAAACCAACATCAACAATCCTTGCGCGCGCGCATAGTCACGCCATCAAACAACGAAAATCAAACGGTATTAGAGAACAATGTCTCCTGATGATCGCAGTAATGCGTGAAACTCGGAGTAGAGACAAAAAAAAACATTTTAAGTAAGAATAGTAATGACATTCGCTCTACGAAATATATATATAATATATATATAATATATATATAATATATATATAATATATATATATATATATATATATATATATATATATATATATATATATATATATATATATATATATATAATATATATATAATATATATATATTATATTATATATATATATATATATATATATATATATATATATAATATGTATATATATATATATATATATATATATATATATATATATATATATATATATATATATATATATATATATATATATATATATATATATATATATATATACCGGGTGGCGCAAAAAAAAGTTCACGCGTTTGATTTAGTACAGCGAAAAAACTATAAGTGTTACATCGCTGAAATAAACGTAGCTGTATTCATAAAAGTCTAACTTAAATTTTGAGCTATAGCATGTTTATTTACGTGCAATATTGACTGGGATATCGCCAAATAAAATTTGGAACGAAGTTTTGAAAATCAGACAAATTGGCTAAAAATGGCCTATTAAACTGTTTTGATAAATTTTAGAATTTCGTCAGACATATTCGCTTGTATGAATTAATTTGAATTGAAACGTGTAACGAATGATTTTCCTTATTTATTTATTTGTTTTATTATCATTTGAAAAGCAACAAAATTTCGAAAAAGATGGCTCTTTTAATTAAGAATTGCTTCGCAGTATTCCATGTCCCATAGCTATAGGGAATTAAATTAGATCAACAACCGAACAATTTGAGACCGCTTCGTGAAGCGATTATTGCTGATTAATTGCCATAACTTCGACCAGCAAATAAATCCAACGTTCGTTCGATAGTATGGTCACACGTGCAATAATATAGTTATTTAATTTTCCATGATAAACGCGTTATTTACTGCCGTTGTGTTCTTCATATATCGTTAATTCCTTTACTCGTATTTAATAGGCTATTTTCAGCTAATTTTGGAACCTTTTGAAATTGCATATTCAAATTGATTTACCAGTATCTGGGGTAATACTAAACAAAAATGCATGTGTTATACATCAAAATTTAAGTTAGGCCTTCCTGGATAGGATAACATTTATTTGAGGAACGTAACACTTATAGTTTTTTCGCTGTACTAAATCAAACGCGTGAACTTTTTTTTGCGCCACCCGGTATATATATATATAATATATATATATATATATATATATATATATATATATATATATATATATATATATATATATATATATATATATATATATATTATAACTGAATTATGATTGGTTGAATTTTTGGATGACATGAAAGATATATTTTTATTGGCTGAAAGATAATTGGTCATGAGATGTGCACGTGAACACTTTAGCAATACCAAGATGACCTTTGATATTTTAGTACACATGATAGCTATGGGTCTGTGACCTTTGTACCGTGTGCAAAATATTCAAATCTGTTGTCATACAAATTATACTAAATTTGTTAGATAAAGTGGAGAGCATTGTCATTAACTTAAATTTATAATATAAGAAAACATGCTCGTCTCTAACCGGCTTTACAATCATTCTGTTAATCAATATTAGGCAGGCAAAGGAAGGCGAGAAATTACATATTTCAAGATTTCATGACCACCCTGCGTGGCTGGTTACAGACACTTGTTCAAATGCACTTTAACATAATAAGTTGCATTGCGCCTTAATGCGTCCTACATCATTATTTTACTCTGCCTAACGCCAGACGATTTTACTCGAAAAGAGGAGACCGCTGTCACTCAATGGTTTAAAACTGTTGCAGTAGCAATGCATCATATGCATGCCAACGATGTATTGTCACTGGCATACATACTTGTATACCGACATTTCCATTCAATTTTAATAAATTGATAAATAATGGTGTCGTATAAAATAATTCTTCCAAATTTTTAAAAAAGATATTTGACACAAAATTATTTTCAGTAAATCCAGTATAGCCATGTACTGTTTCTCCTTTGGCCAGCTTAGCATTAATACGAGCAATTAATGTATTTGTACATCGGTCAATTACAGTATCTTCTAATGTGCATGGCCTGTTATACAGGGTGTCTAAAAAAAACCGCAATGGACATTCAACACGCTATCGTGCAGCATAAACTCAGCTAAACAATTCAATTTTTACATAGGACGAAAGAACTGTCATTTAACTTTTCTATGGCCTGTTTCAAACGTCGCGTTTCTCATGTGCCAAACGCATTAAAAACAATGGATAACCAGCTGAAATGCCTCATTATCTATTGCTTCTAAGGGCCTGTTCATATGAGCCCGGTTAACCGGGCGGGCCCGCTTTGCTTTCACACGAGACGGGCTAGCCCGGCGATCATATCTATTCATAGTAACGATTTCCCGCGATATTTTAGCGGGAAAGTAAAAGTCGTGTTTATTCAGTAAATTTGTATTTTTGTCGACGGCAACAGCTTCGGGAGGTTTAATTTTGATAATTTCCTATATTTTTGAACTTTTTAGACTGTTTATAAGCGAAATAAAGCACGCACATTTCCAGCCCGACTTGCCGGGCTAGCCCGGTTGTGCATTCATATGAGCCCGGTAAGCCGGGATCTCGCCTCGCTCAAGCGAGATCCCGGCAAACCGGGCTGGCCCGCTTCTCATATAAACCGAATCTTAAATTAATATAAAAACAATATGTGAGGCGGGATCTCGGCACTCGAAAACCAGCCCGGTTAACCGGGCTAGCCCGGCACTGCCGGGATCATATGAACAGGCCCTAATGA